TCTAAATTCTTGAAATCTACATTTCGATGCCATAATTCGAGTTGACTCATGCGTATGCTTTTACACACTTGATTGCCATCAATTCGATAACAATTGTCAATGGATCTTGTACCCGCTAAAATACAAGTGTTAGAGTTATCAAACACATAACAATAGTTTTTATTTATTTATCAAATTTAACATGTAAATCATCATCGCATAATTGACGTGTACTAATAAAATTTGTACTAAGCCCATCAACATGTGAAACACTTATGAGTTAGGAAGTCCTTTGATTATAATTGTTCATTTTCCAACAAATGTTCCCTTGACACCTCCAACATAAGTTACCTATCCACCATAAAAAACTTCATAGTCAGCCAAGTGTTCCGTTTTCTAATCAATATGGTATGAGCAATCGCTATCCAAATACGAAGAATCTGAAATGTCAGGCGTCACAACAATCCTAGCAACATTACAACTTAATTAGACAAGACTTAGGAACCCATATTTTATTTGTATTTTTCAAAGTTGTCTCAATTCTAGAAATCTTATGTCGAATGTTATGTGACATTTTGCACAACATCTCATCACTTTTATTTTTTCGAAAGAAAATCCTAATATGACCAAAAGCAAAACAATAAGGACAGGGAAATCTTCTTTTTCTGAGGTATGGCTTTTGAGAAAAAAAAATTATTAAAACACTCATGATTTTTCAGTTTGTAGAAACACTGTCGTTTTATCATCAATTGATTCATAATGGGCAGAAGAAGATGCACATAAATTAGTTTTATTAAATACACTCAAAAATATATTAACATTAAGATTAAAAGTACCTGTGTGAGATTTTTAATGACAACTAATGCATTATCTAATTCAACCCTTACTTTGAAAAGTTCAACGTCATTTTTGGTAAGAGAGACTTCCAAACAAGTCACTTTGTTCTTCAATGTATCATTTTTCTTGCCAGCAGGTTCTAACATTTTTGTTCCCTTTATCGAATCATGAAGATCATCATGTGATATCAAATAACGATTTGGATAATGACAATAACCATCTTGAATCTCCATAACAAAATTCGTGTCACTGAAAAACATGAATCACACTTAGTATAAGTCAAGTGTTGGCTCTGATGCCAATTGAAAGAAATCAATGATTACACAAATGTTTTAATGAGTGCTTGTTTAAAGAAATATTTTGCAGCAAAATTTAAACAATACATGATTTGAATCATTATCGACAAGTATATAACTTGTGAATGTTCCTTGCAGGCGAATTCATCCTCAAGGATTTTTTTCCTTTTATGAAGAAATCACAAGATGATTTATTCGTACATGAATTTCTAGAATCGATGACAATTTATTCTTAACAGAACTCTAGAAGTACAGACTAGTATTCAATGATATTGAATACAAACAGACTCAATTTTGTGGTGAGAAAAATGCAGTGAAAAACAAGGTGTTGTAGAAGATGTTCCAACACCCAAAAGACTCTCCTCTCAACTCACTTCAGAATTTATCAATAAACGAGTTGAGGACCTTTCTTATTTATAGAATTCAAAAGCTCCTAAACCTTCACGAAAATCAACACATTATAAGAGATAGTGGGTTAATGGATTAGTGGGTTAATAGATAAATTTAAGAAAAAATTACAGTTTTCATCCCTCATGTTTGCAACGATTTCACATTTGGTTCCCCATGTTCACAAAAAAACACATTTCATAAAATACACATAAATTCAATATCTATGTCAATGAAACTATATTAGAGTATACTTTATGTTTTTAAATAGCATACCATAAGCATTCTTTTGAGTTTTGTTGATTTGGAATATGGACCACGTGAAGAGGATTAACAAAGTATAATAATAAATAAGAGAATGAAAAATGGAAGATGTATGATTTAAATGAGAAAACTAATAAATATGCAGTAAATTACAAACTAAATATGAATTGGGGTAAAAGATCCTACGTGCTACAACTTTTCTCTTCATTGTTTAATAGTAAATATAAAGCGACGGTTATGGTGTTTCTAGGAAGATTGGATAGCAGCAACGACTTTCGTCGTTGACCTGTGGGCTGTGAATCACAACAGGTTATCAAATAACAGTACGGGGAAGCACATCATCTCAAAATTACTCTAAATCAATGTACAATAGGGCATGAGCATGTGTATCACAATATTGTTGCCAATGGCATCACAATAGAACACTCACGAAACTACAACAAAAATCCCCTTTCCAGACACTAAAAAATGCCTCAATATATACCATTTTGGGACACTTATACTTTTAGGGGCAAATAAAAGATATGTCGCGTAGCTGTGTGTCGCAATAGCGCTTGGGGCATTTATTATATGCCCCAATAATATTTTGGTTTCAAGACACTTGTATATGTCCTAATAAGTTGTTTTTGAGGAACAAATATGTATCCTTTTATGTCATTACAAATTTTGCTTATCAACTTTTCGAGACACTTACAACATCACAAGAACATTTATATGCGTCCCTAAAATTTAATATTAGGACATTTATAAATGTCATTGTACATATACCTCATATGGTACTATAATATTAATTACAATTTTGAAAAATACATACTAAATGAAAAATTGAATAACATATCAAGAATACCAACAACTATCATTAATTAAAATTTTATTAACATTTGATAAATAAAGTCAAGGGATATTATAAGGCTTCTCATACAAGCTAACAAGAACAAATCAATCGTCCTGAATCATAAATTTTGAATATCCGGACTAACTAATCATTCTAAGGCTCTAACACTAGAAACTTAAAAAGTATGATTCGACTCCAATCATATTCGAGATTGCGTCTATACTAAAATCCATCAATTATTCAAACCCGTAGAACTTTGTTCTTGCAAGAAAAATAACATAAAGCATAAAGAAAACGGGTAAGTTCAACAAACTATCAAGTAATACAAAGTGATAAGGAACAACCCTTGAGAACTCATGAAGTACCACACAAAGAATATGAAAGATTAACCTTGCAAAGAATTATAATTGAAAAGAAATAGTACCTGAATGTCTTTAGTACATATTTACAATTCCTGAATTTTTTTATTAGACACCGAACAATTTGTTATCTTCCTCCTTTAAAAAAATCTGCTTTAAAAACAAAGTCAAGAATAAGAATCATATAAGTTGTTTAGTTCTCTCCACTTAATGGAAATCAACAATAAAAATCTACCATTATGCTTGCTTCAATGAGCTTATGTATTAATTTACCATCACTGCTTAGAGAACATATTTCCTCTCTGTTTGTGTTAAGAGAATTGCAATAGAAAATCATCAACATCATCATCATCACTGATGCAACAAACATTGGAGTGACAAAACAAATTATCAATGTCAAACTTAACAAAATAATTCCATATTTTTTAAAGTTATGAGTTATGACATAAACAACAAACACTGTGCTTACAATCTTTTCATATTGTTAATCATTTTTCGCGAGATAGCTATAGACTACATGATATGGTTCGCAGACATAAAAAATTAATGTATTGTGTGCAAAAATCCATCTAATTAGCAGAATTCTATTTCAATCATTTGTTTTTTTGAAAAACAACAACAGTAGGCATATGTAACAATCTAAAACTCAAACAAAAACAAAAATATAGAAGCATTAGTGTCCGATAAATCTAAATTCCCCTAAATCAATTGACATGGACATAATTTATATTTTCACCTATTCTAAGAAAAACATAAACCATATTTGAAAAAACGTGTACATAACATGAGAGTTGAGACAAAACACTTTAAAATTAAACCCTTGATAACGAAAAATTGAAAAATTATGATTGAATATTATATGACAATAACATTATCAACAATTAAGGAACACGCATGCAAAGTTACCCTAAACGAGAATACAATAGTACATATAAACATTTATTTTGGAAAAGGGGATGAGCCTGTGTATCACATATTGTTGTCAATGGCAACACAATAAAACACTGACAGATAATATTATAAACGATGAGGTTGGTGTATGACATTAAAATTATCAACAACAAAGGACACATGCATGCAAAGTTTACTCTATATGTAATTTTAGTAGTATGATACATATTTAATTGCACTATTTATCCCAAATTGAACAAAAAAAACCCTAACAATGAAAGAATAAAAAATATAAAATCCCATAATTTATGTCGCAAAACGAAGATTTATAGAGTAACATAGAAACAAATTTTCGATTAGGGATAGAAAAAACTCAGAAAAAAAAATTTCGATTAAATTTTGCCAACGTCTGAACTCATGTATTTTTTAGGCCCTGACAGTAATTTTGAACGACGACGACGACGATATTGTCTGAACTCATGTATTTTTTTTTTAGAATCGAATTTGATCTAGATAGGGTGCAGATAAATTTGCATCCTTGGGGTTGTATGCAATTTGCCCATTGTAATCTGCATACGTTATAGTCCATCAAAGTTTTCTCTCTTTTTTTTCTTTTTTTGTTTTTTTTTTCTTTTTTACTTCTTTCGACCAAATAGTGCATCATATTTTGATCACTATAATCTGCGTACGATTGTAGCAATTTTATGTTTCGATCATTATAATCTGGGAATAATTATAACAATTTTATGTTTTGATCTTTGTAACTTGATTTGTTGTTACTCGAATACAACTATTACTTGAATATAGAATATAAAATATAAACCACATACTAATATTGATTGAAAATTTAAATCTCATATAGCTTTCAATTTCCACACCTAATTACATTTCAGTTTCCACACATTATTGCAGCAATATTCAGCAGCCATATAATATAGAAATTTGATTACGGTTTATGAATATTTAAGAGAACTGCCACTGCAATGTAATTCACACACAGAGATAATTTCTTTATAAGACTGCCTAAAACATATACATTGGCAGAACACATAAACTTCTTGAAATACATATATACATACACATCACGCTAATTATATATAAGCCATGTTTCAGTACTACAAATATTCCCTTTCGTATGTGTGCCTCTTAAACATGGTATTAATATTCGCACGCGCTTCGTTTCTTGATAATGTGTGTTCGGGGTGTAAGGATAAAGCTTTCTGTATGAGGGTTCTTGGATCAGATCCTCGTTCACCAAATGCCGGCTACGACGAGTTGGCTGGGATTGCCATAGAATTGGCATCCGCTAGTGCCACAGCGACGCGACCCAAGATTTTGTCGCTCTTGCGTTCCGCAAAAGATCCTCAACTTATAAGCAATTTCCAAACGTGTAATGAAAACTACGGAAATGCTCTCGATTCTTTGAGAAGAGCACCGGAATCTTTGAAGCGTAGAGATTACGTCGACCTTCATTTACAAGGAGACACGGTCTTTGAAGAAGTTTATCAATGTGAACATGTCTTCAAAAGTGGATCCCCGCTAACAAATGAGAACTATCGATTGGAGCAGCTCGGTATAATTATTGGAGTTATTGCATCGGATGCAAAATGAGAGATAAATCTTAAAAATCGGTTATGGTAGTTGATGTTTTAAGATTATAAACCAATTAGGGATAATTGTTTTTTTTTTTTCTTTTTTTCTATAGATGAAAATTTTATTTCTATTCTATGCAAAATTAAATAAAATAATTAAGTTATCAAGAAAATAAAGAGATCGCTACCTTCTTTTTTTTTGTTGTTGTTGTTGATATATATAAGCCATCTTATCACAAGTTATCTATCTCCCAAAATGGGTAATTGATACTAATTGGCGATTTGATCCCTAATTGTTCAGAATTGGCAAAATCAACCCTCAAATTATATACCTCATGTAAAATGCACCCTACATACCAACCCTCGTTAGGAGAGTTGGTACCTAGCCTTTACCAATAGGGTAACCGTCTAGGGTTCGAGTCCCCCCTCCCCTACTTCCCCTTGTAATGGACTTGAATTTACTCAAAAAAAAAAAAAAAAAATACACCCTACATCATACTGAAATCTAACAACTGCAGAAGCATCTACGTTTTCTGATTTTACATCTATGACAAGACGAACTGCAAAATTGAGGATAGGGTTCGTACATTTGCAGGTTTTTGGAAGAAATTGGATGTGGTTTTTATTCCGATATTTTGGTTTCTGTGATTTTGGAAGAGATTTAGGGATGATTTTTATTTACACATATTATTTTCCATAAGTTATTAAGACTATTTTTGCCACAACATTTTATGTAGACTTGGAGAAAAATAAAACTTATAACTAGAGTTTATACAGAAACTAGTATCTAGGGGCCAACTAGGAAATTGCTCCGAAAATAAAATAGACATGAGCAATAACTACATAACTAGGGGTGCAAGTTGGAACTCAAATTCCAATTTATGACGGCTCCGATTTTGGAGCAACTTTTTTCGCTCCGACTTCCGCAATTCTGTTTATTGAACTTTACCGATTTGTTTGGATTGGAATTGGAATTAGATAAAAGAAATTTGGAATTTCCGATTTCCTAACCGATTTAATTACCGAAATTAATTCCAAAACATTCCATTATTTTCCGAAAAATTCCATTTTTTTCCCGAAAAATACACCTATACATAATATATATTATATAATACTTATTTTAAGTGTGTTTTTTTCTCAAACAATAATTTGATTTAAGTTTTGTTTTAGGATTTTAACATATTGATTTGTTGTTAGAAGTTTTATTGGATATTATTGTTAGAAATTTCCGGACCTTTCGGAATTGAAATGAATTTTTAGATTCTGAAAATTTTGGAACTGGAAATAGAATTGGTTTTGTACTTCCGAATTTTTTTAAACTTGTCCAAAAAGGCTAATTATGATATGATCCAATCGACTTTCACCCCTATACATAACCACCGGAAATATAATAGACATCACCAATATTCTAGGACTCATGACTTTCGTTCATTAATACTATAATGCATCCAACTATAAATCGTTAACAAAAATAATAAGGTTAATAATTTTTTAAAATGACCTATTTATCTATCTCTTTGATTTGGCAATTGTTGAATAATGTAGTAGAGACATAGAGAATAATGTAAACAACAATACAAAGGGAGAAAGAAAGAATACAAAGAACAACAAATACGTAGAGAGATAATTAATTATATTGTGGGTTATCTTTTAGAGGATAGAGAGATTCCATTGTATAGGTGTAAAATTACTCGAAGTTACAAATGAGTTACAGATAGAAGTTATATATCCGCTAAACGATAGAATAGACATGGGAAGTTAATAAAATGGAGGGAAGTTGAGAATCATTAAGTAGTTATGTTAGAAAACCCGAAATTTCATACTATATACGACACTCCCCTTTGGAGATTCCTATCAAACGACTATATTTTTTTTTTTTGCCTCGTTAAGACCTTCCGAGTAATTAGAACTCAATGGAAAAAAACAACCCCGGTTAGAAAAAAGAGTACAATGTACAATTTTTTCAATCAACATATGCTGTCTCGTTAAAACCTTGGCGAGTAAAGAAATCTGCGTGGAAAAAATAAATCTCGCACGAACCCATTTAGTAGACCCAAACCCGCCCCAACCGGTTTGGTTCCGGGTCTAAAGCCCGGGTAACCGGGACCCATTGCTATCTCTATAGGCGACCTATTTGCTTCTTCATGGATTCTGGTATCGATCTCTTTGTTAGGTGGGTAATTCGGCAAGGTTGACAGATCACATGAATATGACGGAGAAGATATTCTTTCCTCACCTCGAGCGAATGGTAGAGACTTGGCTTCTGGCTTCTTTCTATTCTTTTATGGGGTCATTAGCAATAAACCCCTCATATAGATAATAAATGGTGATATGTCCACCCCTTAAATCTTTCTTTGTGATAAACCCCTAGAATTTGTATTTCCAATTCTACCCTTATGTCAATTAGCATAATTAGTCTCAATTATTCCTTTTTTCTCTCTTTCCATAACAATAATTTAATTCCTAAAAATCTCCTTCCAAATTCCTAAAAATTTGCTAGCAAATCAAATAAAAAAAAATTATGTTTTTTATTTTTTATTATTTTCGGATTTTTTAACCATTTTTTTTTTTTTTTAATTTTTTCTAATAAAAAATATTTTTTTTAGAAAAAAATTTAAAAAATAAAAAAATATATTTTTTATTAGAAAATTGATTAAACAAAATAAAAATAAAAATAAAAAAAATATATTTAAACAAAAAATTGATTTGTTTTTCCTCGACAGATTTACAACTCCGATTATGACTATAGTTGAATATGGTTATTATGTGACTACACGATGTATAACAGTGTAATTAACATATTGTAGAAGCATATTTATTAAGATAACAGTAAGAATATGACTATTATGTGAATGTGACTGTGCTTTGTAAAACATTATAATTAATAGACAGTAGAAGCATGATTCTTAACAAAAACAACGAGAATATGACTGTTATGTGAATGTGATTGTGCTTTGTAAAACATTATAATTAACAGACAGTAGAAGTATGATTCTTAACAAAAACAATGAGAATATGACTATTATGTGACTACGGTTTGTATAACAGTGACTGAACAGGAGTGAGAATATGACTATTATGTGACTAGGTTCTGCGTAATGTGACTACAAGTAATCAGCACTTGAAAAAACTTGCAATATTACTAGCAAAATACATTGCAAAAAGAAAAAAAATGACTAAAAAAACAATAAATAACTAATTTGATCTTTCAACAATGGCCATCGAACATGTTTTTTTTGTTGCGGTATCCAACTCGGTTGCACCGACCGCACTTAATCTTCCGTTTGATCTTGTGTATTAAATATGACTACACTGTTAAATGTTGAACATATGCAGCACTACAAAAAAAAGGACAAATGTAACTAAGTTGTTAAACATGACTACTCTGTCAAATATGACTACTCTGTAAAATACATTGCACTACAACCGACTAATCTCGTAATTCAATGAGTTTTCCAGATCTAAACATTCTGAATAACACAAAATTTAATAAAATCCAGAATAATTGAAAATCAATGTATGCGTTCATAACAAACAAATAATAGAACTGAAAATCAGATCCATAACATATTCTATTGCTAGTTCGACAATTAATTCGAGAAAAATAAAAAAATAAAATTTACCAATTAATATAGTATATATTGGTAGTCATCGTCGAGAGAAGGGAAATCTCCATGTAGAAATCCGACGGAGGCGGCGACAAGGTGGGGAGGCGCCGCCGCCAGCTGTACCAGGCGTCGATGTGGTGGTGTTCGACGAAGGGGAAATGATCTCCAATATCAGCGGAGGAGGGCCTCCTGCAACGGGTTTCGGCCGGCGGCGGCGATTTACAGATCTGAAGAAGAAGGAAAAAGGAAAAATAAAAAAGAACTGTGAACAGAGAGAAAGAACGAGAGAATGAAATAGAGAGAGAGAGAGCGAGAACTGAAGAAGAAGGAAAAGGAAAAAAAAAAAAAGAACGTGAACGGAGAGAAAGAGCGAGAGAAAGAAAGAGAGAGAAATAAAATTGTATTAGGTTAAAAACCTAACACATATGGGCATTTTAGTCTTATCATGGTTGGTAAGGGGGGTCTCACTAATTTAGATTGGGATATGGGTTATGGGAAAAGTCTTTAAAGTCAATTGGGTTTAGTTCAAAATATTTTCCAAATAAGGGGTGTATTGCATATTTCCCCTTCTTTTATTCACTCATACAATCATTTTCAATAGAGAAGCTATTGTTCAAAAATGTGACACGAACAACTTTCGACAAAACATGTTCTTCTCCATAGAAAAAGTCTTCACGAATGGCAAATCTACTGTTACAATATGAAATACGGACAATAGGCACTTTGAGTCGAACGAGAAAATAAAACATTTAAGGTAAGAAAATAACTGTTTAGTCATCTTCCTCGTTAACATAGAAGAATTTTAATCAGTTATTATATAAACAATATATAACTGTTTAGTCATTCACTTATGCAGCCATAGCTTCAAAGATGATAAATGAAAGCTACTGGAATCGAACGGAGCATTTCATATCAATAATTAGATACAATCATGAGTACGAGGTTTCTATTTACCTCGTAATGAATAATAGACAAGTGTAAACTAGAGCTTATGCGGCAAATAATACAACCAGGTCACATTAGAGTTTAACAGGGAACAAAACATTAAAACGCGCATACGGTGAAAGGATACAGTACGGCAGCTGGATTAAAAACTCAAAACATGGTGTAAAAAATTGGGATAAATATAGTTTACACCCCTAATGTATACCCTCTGTAACACCCTAAAGTATCATTTGTAACACTTACCCCCCTTAAGCTCAATTCAATTTGTATTTTAAACCTTAATATACCTTAAAATTTTCTTTCTTTATTTAAAATAATAACTAAAAGAATAATTATATTATACAACTATAAATATCTGTTGAAAAGTGCAATATTTTAAAATTTTAAAAATATTATCTTGTACTGTTGGGTCAATATTTAATAAATAAAATCTAATTTTTATTGGACCAATTAATCGGATATCGTATCGATAAATTTTAAGAAATCAATACATAAATAATAGTAATCTTAAGTATTTAAATTTATTTTAGCTCATTAATTTCTTAAAATATATTGTCTTCATTATTATACAATATATATAACTTTTAATTTTTTGTTTTCCCATAAGTTAATTTTAGTTACTTTTCAATTTTTATGATCCAATAATTATTAGATTGTTATGTTTATTATGTTTTAATTTTAAAATATAAAATATTTGATGTTCAGGGGGTAAGTGTTACAAATGATACTTTAAGGGGGTAAGTGTTACATAGGCTATGCTTCAGGGGTGCAAAGTGTATTTAGCCCAAAATTGTTCTACAACTATATCAACTTTGCAATTAAAACTTATAAAGAGGGTCAAAAGCATTTACCTTACGATATTCAACGAACGAAGAACTTTCCATTCTCAAACTTGGGAGGATTATCGGATAGTGCCATTGGACAAAAGATTAAGCAATTCCAATTCCAGCAATACCCTTTTTTTCTGAAGGCGAAAAAATTAGATAACCGAATAACTGAATTCAGACAAGTCACACAATACAGCAGAAATAAGTATAAGGTACTCAGTTTCTTGCATCAATTGCTCAACACTCCATCATCAAACTCGAGTACCGGCAATGGAATAAACGATCAGGATTAAATTACAAACAGAGCTTAATCGAGAATATGTTTCGACAAAAATTAGAAGCAACCGCTTCAAAACCCTTAGGCCCCGTTTAATTGGCAAGATAATATTAAATAATCTAAGGAAACCCAATTATTTATTGGAGCTCGCGACGTCCAACCAAAAAAACTCAAAAGGCAAGATAAGCCATGATTATATAACTTTGGCGGGTCGACCCGGCAATTTATTGTGGATACCAAACATCAAATTAAGTCCAACTATTTAGTTAATCATGGCTTATCTTGGCAACCAAACGGGACCTTAAAAGACTGCCAGGTTCCATATTTACGAAACCATGGAAATAAATCAGAATCGAGATCGAAATCGCAAATCAGGAAAAAAGATATAATTTAATGCCACAGTCTCATAATATAGGACTCGTCACTTTCGGCACCCGTCTAAATAACGAAACATTTCTAATTAGCAGAGTAGCTTACGCTTTTAGCTGCATAAGAGTCCACTCGGGACTGAAAAATAATGTTACCAATAATCCCCACACGAACAAGATCCGCCTCTAAAGTGGTGGAATCGGCTAATATCTCTAATAATGATTTCTCTCGACACAATCTTGCAGATGTACTTAAATACCGTATGGCAGTCCAAACATATGCGGAGATTCTTCTTAACCCTAATCGGTGCTCCATGTGGGGTCACAATCAACGCAAAAGCCACCGCGAGTTTTTCACTATGGTACGAGAGAAGAAGTTCCTTCTCTTTCTTTTCAACGTCGTGTAGGTCAATCTCCACCATAGGTACATACCCAGCTTTCGCCGCCAAATATCCCAATTCCTCGAGCTTCGCGTATATCTCTTCGCTTCTAGGGTTGCTTCTGTCGCCAGCTGTAAACGTGTATATATTATCTTTCACCTCCATCCAGCTCATACCTGGTTCTTTCTTAACTCGACTCTCTTTCATTAATCTCCGCACCTTCGCGACGTCTTCCCATAATCCCGCCGATGCGTATATATTCGCGAGAAGAACATGCGTACCGGATTTTTCCGGTTCGAGGGCGTATAGCATGTTGGCGGCGCGTTGGCCTAGCTCTACGTTTTTGTGGGTTTTAGCAGCTCCAAGAAGTGCCCCCCAAATTGCACCGTTGGCTTCGAAGGGCATGTTATTTACGAGATCGACCGCTTTATTCAAATTCCCTGATCGGCCAAGAACATCGATCATGCAAGCGTAGTGCTCGTGCGTTCTTTCTATGCCGAACTGCTCTTTCATAGTATCGAAGTAGCGTTGAGCTTCGTCGACTAAACCGGTATGATTACACGCACAAAGGACACTGACTAACGTTACGTGGTTCGGAGAAACCCCGTCGCCCAACATGTCGTCGAACAAACGGAGGGCTTCTTTGGCATGACCGTGTTGCGCAAGCCCGCCAATCATAGCGGACCACGAGACAACGGTTCTCTCGGGAATTTCGTCGAACGCATTGCCAGCATCCTCTACACTTCCACACTTGGCGTACATGTTCACCAGCGAATTCCCGGCGAAAACATCCGACATAAACCCTAGCTTCAAGACGTGAACATGGATTTGCTTCCCCTGTTCGTAAGCCGATAAATTTGCACAAGCATTAAGAAGAGAACTGCAGATAAAAGAATCCGGCTTAAGCTCCATATCTAGTAGCTTCGAGTACAGCTTCAGAGCTTCTTCGCCGTGCCCGCATTGCGCGTAAGTTGTCATTAACGATGTATAAGACGGTAAATCCGTATCCGGACATTCTTCGAATACTCTAGCTGCATCGAGTACGTGTCTGCATTTCCCGTACGAATCGACAAGGCTGTTTAAAACGAAACTATCGGCTTTGTAACCCGACTTCGCAACAAGCGAATGAACTTGCTTGCAGAAAACAATATCCTCCGACGCAGCAATCGCATTAAGAACTGCTAGTAAAGTCGCCTGGTCGAATTCCATGCATCGCTTGCGCATCTCCACAAATAGGGTTAGAGCTTCTTCATCCTCCCGGTTCTGTGAGTGGCCGCATATCATTGCATTAATTGCAACCAAGTCCTTTTCTGGTAGCATCGAACGATAAACGATCATCGCATCCTTCATCAAACGGCACTTGCAGTACATGTCAATGAGTCCAACCGCCACAAACGGGTCCCGCATTACCTCCATCTTTATCAATTCGGCATGAAACTGTTTACCCAATTCCGGTAAACCTAACGCCGCACACGCTTTAAGAGCGCTCGATAAAGTGAACATATTCGGACATAACCCGGATTTCTTCATCTGCTCTAACAACTCCAAGGCCTTACCGTTATAGTCATGATACACACAACCAGCAATTATCGCGTTCCAAGAAACGATATCGGGTTCTTGAATATTACCGAATACGGTAATTGCGTTTCCGAAATCGCCCCCCTTTGCATACATGTCGACTAGTGCATTCAGCGAGAATGGATCTCCGTCATATCCAAGCTTTATTAGATACCCGTGAACTTTTTTCCCTTGACCGATATCTCCTAGCCCCGTTGCAATATTCAATACAGTCGACAAACTAAACTCGTCTGGCCTAGTCCCACTAGCAATCATTTCTTGAAACAACGCCATTGCTTCACTAAAATAATCGTTCTGCGCATAACATGAAAACAGAGCATTCCAAGAAACGACATTCTTTTCGGGTATGTCTTCAAACAGTGTCCTAGCGTCGATCAAATGACCGCATTTTGCGTACATAACCACCAAAGTATTGGCGACAAATACATCCGACTGAAATCCAGTAACCAATACAACTCCATGAACTTGTTTACCAAGCGTAAAGTCGGATGTACTTGCACACGCTTTGAGCACGCTGGGGAAGGTGAACTCGTTGCACTTAACTCCCAAGGCATGCATTTCTCGAAACGACAATAGGGCTTCTTGCCCGAGTCCATTTTGGGCGTACCCGGATATCAAAGAAGACCACGAAACTAAGTCCGGCTTTTCACTTTCGTCGACCAGCTTTCGGGCATGGGAAAAGACTTTACACTTGGAATAGAAATTTATCAAATGGTTATGGTGTTTCGCGTCTCGGGATAGACCAGTTTTGATTAGGTGCGCGTGGATTTGGAGTCCTTGTTTTACGGACTTGGTTTGGGAGAGCTCCGACAAGAGTTTCGAGAAGGAAATGTAGGCTGATGCGGACTTTGGCACTGCTTGAAGAAGCATATACTCGAGATGCTTGCCTACAATAAAACAAACAAGTATCATCTTCGGAGAAATCAATCCCGGAAAATAATGTAATACAAGAAGCATTCAATAACATAATGAATGAATAAACTAGATGCTAAGGCTAAAACATGGAGCAGCAAATTTAAGTTGATTCAAGCTTCTTAGATTCCACGTGCTCGAGCTCGAGGTCGTAAGAATCAAGATCCAGTTCGAGTAATTGAAGCATGTGGTTCGATTTCAAAGAACAGCTTTGTAATTGAAGATGCTAAAAACGTAAGGGGGCATCCATTTATACAAACAAGAATTAACCAAAATAAAATTAGCAAAAACAAATTAAAAAAAAAAAAACCCTATCAAATGACTGAGACAATGCACTTAAAAGACAAAAAATCACTTAAAAAAACCAATTGAGCTAATCCATCCAAAAAATAAAAACCCGAGTCAACTCAACTGGATAAATGACTTCTCTCAAGAACAGACACTAAACTTGGAGATTCAAGAAAAAAACTTTGAAGAAGATTTTCAGAAAAACACACACACACACACACTCATGGTGGTTCACCGGCGATAAAGTTCCAGCATATAGCGGCTGGCGTGTTCTAAAATCTAAAAAAGAAGCGATATATGCGGCTTACGCGTACCGTGGCGGCGATTATCGGACGGAACGGGGTCGAGCGGTGTTCGTGGCGGCGGAAATAGATTAGAGCTAGTGACGTCGACAATTTTATATTACTTCTGATTTTCACTTTAAAAAGTTTTCAAATGTTTCCCTAAATTTTATGATTTCTATTAAAGTTGAGAGATATACATTCACAACTTACACTTTAACCATTAAATTGAAATTTTCTGTTACTCAAACAAAAGAAAAATGAAATTTTCTGCATTTTCTCCCTTTTGCAAATTTATTAAAAGTTTTAAAGCCTTGTTTGGTTACCAATATAAGATAATTGTCCCTGTAAAATAACATGCCTATTATTTTATAGGGATAATTTGACAAAACTCCCCCATTACACAAGTCTCATTACAATAAGCCCAATTTTATTTTACATTTTTAAGATAAATCTAAAATAACTTTTATTAATTAATAACACTTAATTATCACCATTGTAGCCTTAACTAAGAAATAATGTATATTTAAATTATAATTAAAAAATATATATTATATTTACATATATTATATACGTATCTCTCTCTTGCAAGTTGCACACAGACACAACACAGGCGCACACACACACTGCCATTATATTTCTCAAATTTCTCCATTATTGTGGGGTTGAAAAAACAGAGATTCAAATACACAATTGATAAAATAGAGAGAGATGCAAATACACAATTAATAAAATAGAGAGATTCAAATACACTATTCAAAAGCACAAGTTTCTCCACTGTTGTTGCGTCAAAAAACATAGATTAAAATCCGAGGGGCAGGAGCATGCGGGACTATTCAGGAAAACGCCATTAGTACATAAATCAATCTTCTCACAAACGAATGGAATTCGACATGTATCGATAGGCCAAACAAACTCGTGTTTTTGTGCAACGCCTGGTAAGCTACTAATGATGAGTCCCCATTTATCAAGAAGTCAAAATTGTAATTACAAAGTGGTTTTCATTAATTACAGGGTGGATTTTCGTAATGGAATTCGTTAATTATACAGTGGTTTTCGTTAATTACAGAGTGGTTTTCATTAATTATAAAGCGGTTTTTGTTAATTGATAAGTTGTTAGTGAATTTTTGTAATGGAAATCGTTAACTACATAGTGATTTTCGTTACTTACAGAGTGATTTTCATTAATTACAAAGTGAATTACGTTAATACTAATGTGCATTATGCTTATTTTATAGTAATTTTTATTTTAATTTCACAGTGGTTTTCGATAAATTTAGTGGTTTTCGATGTGTATGTAGTCGATTTCAATATTATTTTTAAATATAAACCATTTAAAAAAGTGAAATTAAAAAAAAAATCAATTTTTTGTTTTAAATTGATATAAAAAAAACTATTTAAAAAATAAAAATGATAAGAAAACTTAAACGGAAATAGCTTGACAGGGAGATAATTGGGGTATTGTGTAGGGAGAAAATAGGGGGATTTGCATATCTACCAAACAAAATAGTGGATTTTTTAAAATAATATAATATGGTAAATTTTTAGTAATATTAAATGGGGACATTTTGGATAATTCCACACATTTGGATTTATAACAAATATCAATTAAAAAAAAATGAAAAATGGATTAATCAAGAAGTCAAAATTGAATGAGGGGTGTTTGTCATGTAGCCCCTATTTTATAAGATGTTTGTTACAGAGCTTTAATTTTTTTATCTTCCCATTATTTAATAGTTTTTGATGTTTGATTTCTCACTAAAATCAACCTAATTACTTAAAAATGACCGAATTATCCTTGCATATGGTAATACCTTTTTTTTCTTCTTTATAATATTTATACTTTTTTTTGGTTTTTATCTTTTTCGATTTCTTTTCTTCAGTTTCGCCGATTTTTTTTATTTTTCAAAAAAATATATATATACATTTTAAATTTTTTCGGAAAAAAAATATTTTTGATTTTTTTTCCAATTTTTTTTTAGGGCAAAGTACACTTTACACCCCTGAACTATGGGGGTTGTACCAGTTTGCCCCCTTGTACTATAAAACGTCTCAAATACCTCTATTTAAATTTTGTTTGTAAATGCTGATGTGTCACTTTGACTTTATGATTTTTAGTTATTTTTTCCACCTTTGGACATTTTTTGACTACTTTTCCCCCCTATTCAATTATATATATATATATATATATATATATAACAACTTTTTCACTAATTTTTTTTCTTTTCTTATTTTGTCAAGTTTTTTTTGCTCCATATTTTTTGGTTTCTTTTCTCATATTTCCGCTTTTCTTATCCTTATTTAACCACTAAAAGGTCACTATTTTTTTTCTTCTAAAATTTATTAAAATGTCGAGTAACAACTCAAATACACAAAATTCTCGTACTTCGTGGTACAAGACATCTTATAATGCACGAAAATCACCCCAAAAGTTATGCATTTAATTGAGGGCTTAAACAAAAACTGCACAAAATTGAAAAAAAAGGACAATTAGCAAACATATTGAATCCAAAAATTAAACACAATTAAGAAAATCATGTAAACTATAAATTCACTTCAATCACAAATTCATAACAAAATCGACAAATATGACCCATATTAATTATATAATTATTAAGTTTCTTATAACAACCCCCAAGGGCAAAGAAGTAATTACACATTTAAATTAAAGGTGTTAATAATTTAATGGTTGACCATAAACTCGAGGGGGGTATTTGGGACGTTTTGTAGTTCAGGGGGGCAAACTGGTACAACCCTTATAGTTCAGGGGTGCAAACTGTACTTTGCCCTTTTTTTTTTTTTTATCTTTTTCGGTTTTATTTTTCAAAAAGAAAAAATATTCAAACCTTTTTTTTCGAAATATTTTCTTTTGTTATTTTTCGATTTTTTCGGAAATTTTCTTTTTTTTTTTTGTTTGAAAAAAAAATATTTTTCCATTTATTTTATATTTTTCAATTTTTTTATGTTTTTTTTATTTTTTCGAAAAACAAATTTCCAATTTTTTTTTCGAAAAAATAAAAAATCGAATTTTTATTTTTGTTTTATACTAGTTATTTAAAAAAAATAATTGAATATGTCATTGTGATAAATAGATGAAAACTAGAAGGGCAATTGTGTCATTATCGTATTTAATCATAGCACAATAATTTTATTGGACATCTCAAGGTCCAATTAGTTATCTCCCAATTAGTCAAGATAAGCCATGACAATTATTTTGTCAAGTCGACTCGGAAAATAATAAGGCTAACTAAACATCAAACTAAACCTTACTATTTAGTTAATTTTGGCTAATCTCCCCAACCAAACGGGGTCTTAAGGTCTCGTTTCGTTGCCAAGATAACATTAGCCAAGATAAGATAAATTTTCCCTATAAAATAATAGTAGGCCTATTATTTTATATAAAATAATAGTAGGCCTATTATTTTATAAGGTAAATGAGTGATACCCCCTAGTTTTGAAAATGTATATGAGGAGGTCCAATAAATTTTTCCGCCCTAGTCAAAAACTCAAATTTCAATCTTAACTTGTTAGACTCCATGAACAACTTAAAGTACTTGTTTTACCCTTTTTAGTTTCCATTTGCCTTAATCTTCTCTCTCTTCCACTCACACCCAGAACAACCGCCGTTTTATCTCTTCCTTTCTCCCTCTTTGCATCTCTCGTTCTCTCCCTCTCTTCATCTCTCGTCCTCTCCCTCTCTCTAAATCTATCGCCAAAAAAGAAAAATATAAAAGCAAAACATTCTCTGGGCGGCGGCGGAGGAGGAGAAGAAACCGAAGAAGAGCATCAACTCGGTGTTTTTTTGAGATGAAGGTTATGGTTATCCGTAAAACTCTTCACCTTTTTTATGGATTTTTTTTTATGAAAACCAACTGAATTCGAAAATCTTAAATCGCGATCCGACGATGTGTAGTCAGATCTAATGGTGAATTTCAGATCTGGAACCAGTGGTGTTTGATTTGTATATATTTACTGCATTTATAAAAAAAAAAAAAAAAAGATCTACTATATTTTTGAAGATCTGTGAACAATTAATATTAAAATCTTTTTCTTTGGATTGATTTGATTTTTTTTTTTTTTTTATTCTTATCTTGTTTATTTTTGTTATAAATCATATGTAATTTTTTTTTGTATTTATTTAAAGATGATTCGAAATGCCTCAGGTGTGAGAGCTTTGTTTGTCTGTAGTAGAAACTAAATCAGTAGTGATTACTTAGATCGGTGATTTGGGTCAGATGAATAGACAATTATTTGTAGTCGATTTCAGTACAGTAAATTTATCAAAAAAATGAAAGAAACAAAAATTCATGTTTTTTTTTTTTTTTTTTTTTTGTATTTTTCATGTAATCTAACTCGCATGTTCCATTTTGCTCTTTAATTTGTATTTTTTTGTCGCATGTTTTGCTTTTATTATAATTTTATGAGATGCATAGAATAAGATACGGTGAAGTGCGTTGTGAAGTTGGATTCACACTAAAGTAGTCTAGACTTTATGTCACTATATATAACTATAGATAATTGTAGATAACTATAGTCACATGTAGTAACATGGGTCTTTATAGCGTCCAGCCGCTAATTTCTGCCTAAGGTCAGTTAGGGTCTCATTGGCCGCCACGTGTCCAAAAACAAATATTTATTTAAATTTTGATTGTGTACTGTCCTAAATGCCTTTATGCTACAAAAATCAAATTTAAAGAATAAAATTACTAAATTTATCTGAAATGACTTTATTATCATATATGACTTCATCTCTTCAAAGTTCTCTCCCGCTCCTGTCATTGACATTTTCTAATTTTTACGAGAATTTTGACGGTTGGTAATCCCACATATTTTCGGCGAAATAACCACTGCATTAGGGATGTCGAATTTTGATGAATCAGGTATCTCATTAATTGAATATGTTGGGTGTTTGTCGAAAATTTTCAATTACAGTTGTGGTATTATTTGAAAAATTAGGAGTTTGTCGAAATATATTATTGATTAAGTTTAATAGCATTATTCGATTTAGATTACAACGGCGGCGATGAATTAGAGCATAACAGCGGGGTTGAATTAGAGCACAACAGCGGCGAGAACGATTCAGCCTCATCAGCTAGGGCGGAAGAAAGTGTTTCAACTTCAAATCGGGAAGGGAACAATGGTGACACA